TTATCATTGTTCGGACATGAAACAAGCACATGTAAACACCCTTCCAAAATGACTACCATTTAAAACACTAATGCAAACACTCTTCGAAACAAGAGTTGTCAAAGCTCTTTACAAACGTCTTATTTTACCATATAAACCTCATTTCCAATCACTTTGCCCAACCGTCTGTTTTAAAATGTTTGTTTCAAACGATCGTCTCGTTGGTAACGATCAAGTAATTCAACCACACCATTATGAAAAATGAGATAACCAATTTGACCATTTGTTCAACATCTCTTTTCAACATTTTATTAGAAGTGCTTCGATGATTGGTTACTGCTGGAACGGTTTATTTTCAAACATAGTGATCGATGGTTACCAATCAAACTCATGAATCGTTATAAAGTACTGATAGTATAACTGAACCGCATCAAGCTGCTATATGAAAATATATGGTTTACATTATATTTGTTTTATATATTCAAATGAGAAAATTTAGAACATCTCCAATTCATTTAAGTTTACTTGAATTATTTGGTGGAACAATACTCTAGAATTTCTAATTGCCATATACGAACACAAAATTTTTTTTCCTCATATCAGATAATAAAATTTTGTAAATAAAGCCAGTCTGAGACTGGAGGAGTACTATATACAACTGGTCATAATCAGAGACTCGTTCATCAAAATAAAATTGATCCATGACCACAGTAGGCCATAAGGCCAATAACGATAAAGCTGATTAATGGGCCGAAAAGACCTGAATGAAGCCCAAATAAAAACCCATTAAATCTGATATTTTGACACCCACTTGGGGAGAAGAAAATACATACATAAAGAGATAGGGCAGAGCAGAGAAGCAAAAATCGTGGAAGGTTACAAAGCCTTTCAAAAAACCACACTCTCATCTCACACCTTATCCTTCTCCTTCTCCTTCCTTCTTCAATGGCGTCGACGGTAGGAGTTCCTTCTCTTTACCAGGTTCCTCACCTCGAAATCTCTAAACCCAATTCCAAGAAGAGGTCTGGTTGCTTAGCTCTCTCTCTCGATAAGCCTTTCTTCACTCCCATTTCTCTTCGAAGAACTCGCCTTATCCACTCCTCTTCCTCTTCTCTTTTCGTTCCTTCCGCCGTCGCAACCCCTAATTCCGTTCTCAGTGAGGAAGCTTTCAAGAGCCTTGGTCTCTCTGACCACGACCAACTCGACCTCGGCTCCGACAACGATGATGTCGAAGAACTCGCTATCTCCAAACTCGGTTTGCCTCAGCGTCTTGGTGAGTCTCTCCAGAAGCGTGGTATTACTCATCTCTTCCCCATTCAGGTTCG